CCACCCCTCTCTCCCTCCCCGAGGCGGAGGAGGGTGGAGTTACAAGCTATTTCCTGTTCCGCCTATTACATGCTTCTTCATACATCGTATGTTCGTGTTAATAACCTATTTATCTATGCGGGGTGTGTGAGTAAATATTTATAAAGTTATTACGCCTGCGTATTAACAAAAACCTCTTGACCTTTTCTGTCACTAGGCAGAGTGTAATGTATTCAATAAGCTGCCATTGAATGCATAATGTGTGATGAAAACATCTAATTGAAATGTCATGTTAAGCTTCGTCCTGGGCTAGGATCCAAATCCATCCAATCGCATTGATAGCACAGGAAGAACCAACCAATGACTTGTCAACAAGCTCCCTGAGCGGGAACGTACGTGATTGGTCCTTATGCATACAACCTTTTTGTTGTTGTTGTTCAGTCGCACAGTCGAGTCCGACTCTTTGCGACCCCATGGACCAGCTCCCTCCAGGCCTTCCGGTCTTCCGCCATCCTCTGAAGTTTGCTCAACTTCATGTTCGTTGCATCGATGACACTGTCTAACCATCTCATCCTTTGCCGTCCCCGTCTTCTTTGACCTTCAATCTTTCCCAGCATCAGGGTCTTCTCCAGTGAGTGCTCCCTTCTCATTTGGTGGCCAAAGTATTTTAGCTTCAGTTTCATTATCTGGCCTTCCAGGGAACAGTCAGGGTTGATTTCTTTGAGGATTGACTGATTTGTTCTTCTTGCAGTCCAAGGGACTCTCAAGAGTCTTCTCCAGCACCATAGTTCAAAAGAATCTATTCTTCGGCGCTCGGCCTTCCTTATAGTCCAACTCTCACAGCCATACATGACTACTGGGAATACCATTGCTTTGACCATGCGGACTTTTGTTGGCAGGGTGATGTCTCTACTTTTTATCATGCTGTTTAGGTTCGCCATCACTTTCCTCCCAAGGAAATCTTTTAATTTCATGGCTGCTGTCACAGTCTGCGGTGATCTGGGATCCCAGGAACGTGAAGTCTGTCACTACTTCCACGACTTCCCCTTCTATTTGCCAAGGAGTGATGGGGCCGGATGCCATGATCTTAGTTTTTTTGATGTTGAGCTTCAAGCCCACTTTTGCGCTCTCCTCTTTTACTCTGAGCAAGAGGCTCTTTAGATCCTCTTCACTTTCAGCCATTAGAGTGGTATCATCTGCATATCTGAGGTTGTTGATCTTTTCCCCAGCAATCTTAATTCCCGCTTGTGATTCATCCAGGCCAGCATTTCGCATGATGTACTCTGCATATATATTAAATAAGCAAGGCGACAATATACATCCTTGTCGTACTCCTTTTCCTATGCTGAACCAATCAGTTGTTCCATATCCGGTTCTAACTGTCGCTTCTTGGCCCTTATACAGGTTTCTCAAGAGACATGTGAGGTGGTCTGGTACTCCCATCTCTTTAAGGACCTGCCATAGTTTGTTGTGATCCACACAGTCAAAGGCTTTAGCATAGTCAATGAAGCAGAAGTAGATATTTTTCTGGTACTCTCTTGCTTTCTCCATAATCCAGCGAATGTTGGCAATATGATCTCTCGTTCCTCTACCTCTTCGAAACCCAGCTTGTACTTCTGGTAGTTCTCTATCCACGTACTGTTGAAGCCTAGCTTGTAGGATCTTGAGCATGACCTTGCTAGCGTGTGATATGAGTGCAATTGTGCGATAGTTTGAACATTCCTTGGCATTGCCCTTCTTTGGGATTGGAATGTATACTGACCTTTTCCAATCCTGTGGCCACTGTTGCGTTTTCCAAATTTGCTGGCAAATGGAGTGCAGAACTTTAACAGCATCATCTTCTAAGACTTTGAATAGCTCAGCTGGAATACCATCACCTCCACTAGCTTTGTTGTTAGCAATGCTTTCTAAGGCCCATTTAACTTCACATTCCAGGATGTCTGGCTCAAGGTCAGTGATTATACCGTCGTGTTTGTCAAGGACATTGAGGTCTTTCTTGTATAGTTCTTCTGTGTATTCTTGCCATCTTTTCCTAATCTCTTCTGCTTCTGTTAGGTCCCTACCGTTTTTGTCCTTTATCATGGCCAGCTTTGCATGGAACGCTCCCTTGATTTCTCCAATTTTCTTGAAGAGATCTCTAGTCCTTCCCATTCTATTGTTTTCTTCTATTACTTTGCACTGTTCATTCAGGAAGGCCTCCTTATCTCTCCTTGCTGTTCTCTGGAAATCTGCGTTCAGTTGGGTAAATCTTTCCTTTTCGCCTTTGCCTTTCGCTTTCCTTCTTTCCTCTGCTATTTGTAAAGCCTCATCAGAAAGCCACTTTGCTTTCTTACATTTCTTTTTCTTTGGGATGGTGGTGATTGCTGCCTCCTGTACGATGTCACGAACCTCTGTCCATAGTTCTTCAGGCACTCTATCTATCAAATCCAGACCCTTGAATCTATTCTTCACCTCTACTGTATATTCATCAGGGATGTGATCTAGGTCAAACCTGAATGGCCTCATGGTTTTCCCGATTTTCTTCAGTTTAAGTCTGAATTTTGCAATGAGTAGCTCATGATCTGAACCACAGTCAGCTCCAGGTCTTGTTTTTACTGACTGGATAGAGCTTCTCCATCTTTGACTGCAAATTATATAGTCAATCTGATTTCGGTGTTGCCCATCTGGTGATGTCCATGTGTAGAGTCGCCTCTTAGGTTGTTGGAAAAGGGTGTTCGCTATGACCAGTGTGTTCTCTTGACAAAACTCTGTTAACCTTTGCCCTGCTTCATTTTGCTTTCCAAGGCCAAACTTGTCTGTTATTCCAGTTACCTTTTGACTTCCTACTTTAGCATTCCAGTCCCCTATGATGATGAGGACATCATTTTTTGGTGTTAGTTCTAGGAGGTGTTGTAGGTCTTCATAGAACCGGTCCACTTCAGCCTCTTCTGCATCAGTGGTTGGGGCATAGACTTGGATTACTGTGATGTTGAATGGTTTGCCTTGGAATCGGACAGAAATCATTCTGTCATTTTTGAGATTGTATCCCAGTACTGCCTTTTGCACTCTCTTGTTGACTATAAAGGCCACACCATTTTTTCTACGAGATTCTTGGCCACAGTAGTAGATATAATGGTCTTCTGAGTTAAATCCGCCCATTCCTGTCCACTTTAGTTCACTGATTCCTAAGATATCGATGTTCAGTTTTGCCATTTCATTTTTGACCACGTCAAGCTTGCCTTGATTCATAGATCTTACATTCCAGGTTCCTATGCAGTATTGTTCTTTGCAGCATCGGACTTTCCTTTCACCATCAGACACCTCCACAACTGAGCGTCCTTTCGGCTTTGGCCCAGCCGCTTCACTCTTTCTGGGGTTACTTGCATTGTTCATTCAGGAAGGCCTCCTTATCTCTCCTTGCTGTTCTCTGGAAATCTGCATTCAGTTGGGTAAATCTTTCCTTTTCGCCTTTGCCTTTCGCTTTCCTTCTTTCCTCTGCTATTTGTAAAGCCTCATCAGAAAGCCACTTTGCTTTCTTGCATTTCTTTTTCTTTGGGATGGTGGTGATTGCTGCCTCCTGTACAATGTCACGAACCTCTGTCCATAGTTCTTCAGGCACTCTATCTATCAAATCCAGACCCTTGAGATGAATAAAGCTGAATCTTTGCTGAATCACTCTCTGACTACTTTGTTAAGCGAGCGACTTAACACAGAGATTGTGGTTAAGGTTCAGCTGCAATTTTTTGGCACCCCCCAAAACCATGAAGAACAGCACCACCACCCCCCACTACCACAGAGAGCCAACCAAGTAGAGCGACTTAACACAGAGATTGTGGTTAAGGTTCAGCTGCAATTTTTCCAGGCAGTGAAGTTTTCATTAGGTTATTTCTGTAGGCCCCTAGACCCCGTGGTTAGGCCACAGTCTCTTTCGTCGCTTTCAGACACTGAGCCCATTTCCTGTTATTCCTATTTCTTTCTCTACACATGTAAACAAAATGTTAACTGAAGCAGTGTTCCCTCTAAGCTGAGTTAGTGTGAGCTAGCTCACAGTTTTTTAGCCTCTGGCTCACACGCTCTTGTCTTAGCGCAGGAAGGATGGCTCTAGAGCAAACTAATTGATTCAGTCGCCAAATTGCTCGCTCACAACTTTAATGCCAGTAGAATTTTGCTCACAAGACTCCACAACCTTAGAGGGAACTTTGAACTGAACCCACTTAGTCCTGAGGGCTGGAAGACCTCTTGAGGAAGCCCGATGACTGATTTGTTGTGCTGTTTTCACCAGTCCATGACAATGCCTTTACACAAGTCTGGGGCCAGACATCGCATACAAAGAAATTAACTGTCTCTCCAAAAGTGGGCCAAGCCCAAGGAAAGTCAATCTCTCTCTTCTTGCTAATCCATTTGCACTCAATGGCTGTGTTGCTGCTGAGAGAGAGAGAGAGAGAGAGAGAGAGAGAGAGAGAGAGAAGTCCAGATCCAAAGTCGGGTTCATCAGTACTCACTGAACCTTTCAAGAAATGAAATTGTGTCATGGGCAGCATAGCATTTCTAGTACTGTGACAGCAAAAAGAAAGTAGCTGCAGTGATCTGTGCTCTGACTGTATCTGGGCTAGATTACTGCAGTGTGAAGGCGCAGGGCTGCCCTTGGAGGCTGTTTGGAAATGTTAATCAGCTGGAAAGAATGGTGTAAGCCGTAGGTTACAATTTGTTTCTGGGCACAATTCATGGTGCAGTTTCATACCCTTGTCGCTATGTATGCAAGACAAATTGCAAAGCAAGGATCAAGACGAAGATAAAGCATTAGGGACATCTGGCCTGAGGAAGCAGAAAACAGAGCGGGGGGGAAATTCCATTTGTACCAGGGAGAAATGGAAGTAGAAACAGAAGTTCTTCATAAGGTCCACAACAGCAGGCATGAGAAATTCATCATTGTCCCTATTTTGGAAGTCACAAGTCCAGAAGGAGAACTTCAGATGAGAATTTTGTTATCTTCTCTGTTAGTACCCCCAAAACCATGTGTGTCTGTCTCTCTCTCCTGATAGGTCAGCTGATTTACCAAGCTGCGTCACCAGACGAAGAAGCTCTCGTGACAGCAGCCAGGAACATGGGATACGTCTTTCTCTCCCGGACTCAGGATACCATCACCATCAGTGAGCTGGGCAAGGAGAGGACCTATAAGGTGTTAGCGCTTCTAGATTTCAACAGCGTGCGCAAACGGATGTCTGTTCTGGGTAAGTGGTTACGGAACCGGGATCCTTCCGGAAGTCGGCCTGTATTTACTGCTTCCCAATGAGGCAGAACTCTCCTTTGCGAATTTCTCTCAACCCCTTATAAGCCAATGGCCACCATGACACCTTGTGGGCTGTGAGTTCCACAAATTAACCCTGCATTCTGTGTGAAGAAGTGCTTTCAGTTTGGTGTAGTGGTTAAGTGCGCGGACTCTAATCTGGGAGAACCGGGTTTGATTCCCCACTCCTCCACTTGCACCTGGCTGGATGACCTTGGGCAAGCTGTAGTTCTGATAAGAGCTGTCCTTGAAAGGGCGGTTCTTGAGAGAGCTCTCTCAGCCCCACCTACCTCACAGGGTGTCTGTTGTGGGGAGGGGAAGGGAAAGGAGTTTGTAAGCCACTCTGAGACTCCAAGTGAAGGGCGGGCTATAAATCCATTCTCCTCCTCCTCTTCCTCTTCCTCCTCTTC